AGAGAGAGAGAGAAACATCAATGATGAGAGAGTCATTGACTGGCTTCCTACTGGGGATCGAGCCTGCAACTCGGGCATGTGCCCTGACTGGGAATCAAACTGTGATCTCCTGGATTCTAGGTCGATGCTCAACTGCTGAGCCATGCCTGGCAGGGCAACTTTTTTTATTTTTAATCCTCACCTGAGGGTATTTTTTTCCATTGCTTTTCAGAGAGAGTGGAAGGGGGAGAGAGAAAGAGAGAGGAAGACGGAGGGAGGGAGAGAGAAACCACCACCGATTGGTTGCCTTTCGCTTTCAGGGATCAGCCTGTAACCGAGGTACGTGCCCTTGGCCCGAATCCAACCTAGGACCCTTTAGTCCGAGGGTCCACGCTCTAACCACTGAGCAAAAACGGCTAAGGCTAAAATTTAACATTTTGAAATCCCATGCTGCTGACCAGTCTCCTGCCTGCTCCTGCCCTCCAGGCCACTGCCTCCCCTCTACTCTTTTTTTCCCCCTCCATTGTCCCACTTGTCTCCCATTCAGTTTAGTTCATGTCTCACCACATTGCTCACTTTTGCTAATCTCCTAAACTCCCTTGTTCCTTCATTCTTTCTCGCACTGTCTAGCAGCCACAGCCCTGGATAAATCCATGTCACCACTTTCTCAGTGCCTGTGCCCCAGGGATTGACTGACTACTGGAGAAATCACACTAGGCAAATACAGGACACCAATTTCACCTGGCCCTCAGCACTGCCTGGCACACTACATTCCCACTCACTCCCCTCTCCACCCTCCATCCTTTCCTTCCAACACTCACCTACATTATTTCAGACCTTGTCCCCTATCCTCAAGGTACCAATATCCTTACTTCCCTCCCCTGTCACCCTCAGCAAATGACCTCTCCTTCATAGGGAGAAGTTCAGCCTTTAGATGAAAACTTGTTTTCTTATTGTCAACCTAATGTTCTGAAACTTTTAAACTTCTGTCCAAAATTATTTTTCCTCTCTTGTTCCTGTTGAAATGGAAAGGGTGTCTCTTCTTTCTCCCTAAGCTCTGGATTGCATTCCAGCTTGTTTAGAATACTGGTGGTTACATGACACAATATCCAACTTACAGTAGCCTAGCCAATGAGGACGGTTATTATCTCACTAGACAAGACTTGTGTCATAGGCACAAGTGCCTTCCACATTCTGATCTACCGTTCTCAGAGTGTTGGCAGTGTCGCTCCTCATGGCCACACAAGATAGCTGCAGCAGTACCAGGCATCATGTGCACAACCACATCCGGCAAAGAAGGTTTATACTTTCCTCCATGTGACTCTTTTTATTAGGAAAACTTATCCTAGAAGTGGCCACCCCTACTTCCCACAGGTCCTACTGGCAAAGAGGGGAGGCTAAAAAAAGCATCTAGCAGTTTCCCCTTTCTGCCAGTAAGGAATAATGCGGAGGTGCTTAAAAAAATATTGTTGAGTGGGCTGTTTGCACAATATGCCATCAATCTCATCTTCCCTCCCATCGTCACAGGGGCCTCCCTTTTTCCTGTGTGTTCAGTCTCTCCATGACTAGCTCCTTTCTATCAGCATTTAATTGTGCACAAGTTTCTTTTTTTTTTTATATACTCTTTTTTTTAAATATATCTTTATTGATTTCAGAGAGAAGAAGGAGAGGGAGAGAGAGAAACATCAATGATGAGAGTGTCAATGATCAGCCACCTTCTGCATGCCCCCAACTTGGGATCGAGCCCGTAACCGGGGCATGTGCCCTGACCAGGAAGTGAACCTTGATCTCCTGGATCCTAGGTTGATGCTCAATTGCTGAACGACGACCAGCCGGGCTGTGCACATGTTTCTTCGCTCTTTATAAAAGGCCGTCTTTCCCAACCCAAATCCCTGTCCAGCTAGTATCCTTTCTTTCTCCTTCCCTTCACACTTACTGACACCTCTCCCTTATCTCCCCTCATTCAACCCATTGCCATCTGGATTCCACACAGAAGAAACCACTAAAACCCCTCTTGCTAAGCTGAAAATCACCTCTATGTTGCTAAAAACAATGGACATTTAAGATTTTTAAAAACTGGTTTTTAGAGAGAGGGGAAGGGAGAGGGAGAGAGAGACATCAATTGTCATGCCCCCTACTGGAGAGTGAGCATGCAACCCGGGCATGTGCCCTGACTGGGAATTGAACAGAACCAGCAACCTTTGGGTGCACAGGTCAACATCCAACCAACTGAGCCACACTGGCCAGGGCTAAAAGCAATGGACATTTAAAAATCTTATTTAAGTTGACCCTGCAGCAGCATTCAGCATAGCTGTTTCTCATCCATTCTTCTCAAACTTCTCTACCCTTGGCTACTTCTGTATCCCACTCTCCCATTTTCCTCCACATACACTTTCCCCCCCTCCCCACCCGCCCACTACCTTTCCTGAATTTCCTTTCCTGGTTTATACTTTTCTATACAACCCTGTAGATCTTGGAGGTTCTAAGACCTCAGTCATACACTCTAATCTCCTCACTTTGCACACTCTATGATAACATCCTCCAGAGCCTCAATTATCACCTGCATGGAGACAAATCTCAAATTCTTATCTCTAGGTAAGAAGTGTTTTCTGAATCCAAGTCTCTTACCTATCTGCCTAGTAACTTAACACCTCCACTTTAATGCCTCTTCAGCACTGTAAACACGTGTCTAATACTGAGCTCACATCTTCACGCACTCCTCCCCACCAACCTGTTCTTCCTCTCCTGTTCCCTACCTCACTGCCACCTTCTACACTGTTTCCAAAGACAGAAACTCAAGATCTCTTCTTGACTACTCCTTCCTCAACTTCCATACCTAGTCAACAACAATGCCTGTTGGGTCTGCTTCCAAAATATTAAAAGTATCTACTTCTCCATCTCCCTTATACACGGACAACAGCCTCTTAACCAGGCTCATTCACCCATTCCACTTCCAATCCAATCCATTTAAATTACAGCGCAGCTGCATATTAAAAACACAAGTTTTATAGGTAACTCCTGTTTAAAATTCCATGGGTTTTTAGAAAAATGTCTGCAACCTTTAACATGACTTCCAAGGCCCGTCTGATCTAATCCTTGCTTACCTTTCCAGGATTATTTGCCCTTCACTCCCCCTTTCTATGTTCTAGCTGCACTGGATATTCTTCAGTTTTTCAAGGGTACTGTTCTCACTTCCTCCGCAGCCTTTACATTGTTGTTTCCTCCACCTGGAACAGTCTTCTCCTTTTCCTACCTAGATTTCTCCTGACATGTCATTTTCTCAGAAAGGCCTTTTCTGACCCCACTCTCCATGTTTGGTCGCATCATCACACCTCTGGAGCGCTCACAATGACCCCTCTCACCATCACTTGTTCCCTGTCTGCCTTCCTCTGGAGAACAGCCCGAAGTCACAAAAGCAGGGCCTTTGTCGGACTGCCCCGCCTCCTCATTAATGCCAAGTACAATGCCTACCTCACAGTAGGAGAGCAATAAACATCTGATGAATGAATGAAAGGCTATCAATGACTCCTATAATATTTAATTCTAACACTAGGAATAATTAAAATCATGGCTCTACTGAAAGAATTTTTAGGTTGGTAGAATTTTAAGAAATCCACTTACAAAGTTGGTGTTGAGGACCAACTCCAATTCTTCTTGAGGAAAGGTGTCCTATATAAGCGGCAACTGTCTATAATCAGTGCTATGTTTCAGTTTATAATAATGCTATATGCAAGTCCTGATTGGAAAAAAGGAAATAAAAATCGGAATGCGATCCGTTAGCTATTTTTAGGTTATTCATTTGCAGGAAAAGGCGTATTTTCAGATGGAGCATCTCCTTAATCCTACAAAGATTATGGAATGGTTTGTACTGCTGGAGGAGAAATTTAATTGATGCAGACCGTATAATGTGACAGCATATGCAACTTTAAATAAACCAATCAAGTCTTTAGTAGTTTGGCCGCGCGATTTCATGAAAATATTAAATATGGATCAGGTTTCACTTTAAGGGCAACCAGTCACAGAGTGCCATGTCTTGATTATAAAACCTTCTTACATGAAACTGTCAACAAAATCATTCCCTAGTCTTCTCTTTCCTATTACCATGGAAAGTAGCTGGAAAATAAATCATTATCTGTTCTCCGCATTTGAGCTGCTTTAGCGAGCAGCCGGAGCAGCACAGCCAGGCGTCGTTAGGTTTCCTAACGCTCTCCAGTCAATTACTAAAAAGCTGCTCAGGCCTACATGCTGCTACCTCCCCTCAGGTGCACGGGTTTACGGTGTTACACAGGTGCCTGCCGTGGCTTTTATCCTGTTTTTCTTCAAGGGTGGGCTGATAAAGTAAGTTCAATAGAAATCAAAGCCTTTCACTAAGTCCCTACAGAGCCTATTTAGCTCCGCGCTGAGAGACATCCAGTCCAAACACACACCGGCCACTAATCGTAGCAGAGAATTACCTCGTGCCCTACCAAGCAGGGCTCCCCTCGGAGTGGGGGCGACTTCCTTCACATTCAAGGTCTCAAGGGGCTAGAGCCCGGCCTCTCCGGGTCACCGAGCGCCCCTTCCTCTCCTTCCCTTTATGGAGTGTGAAGCGGCTCTCATCGCACCCCCTTAGCGGTGCCCGGAAATCACAGTCACCTTTCCCCCCGGTACGAATAGTAGCCTATGAAGACTACAATTCCCGTCATGCTTCACGCAGGCTCCGCCGACGCGCCGTAACGGTTTAGTCACCCTTTCCACGGCCTCCTTCCACTTCCGGGGCTGCGGGCCTGAGGCCTAGCGGGCGCGCGCACGCACCAACTTGCCGACGGGATCGGGCTATGGGGCGCCGTGCGGACTGCGACGTGCAGCCTCACGTGACGCGGCGCGCTCCTTGCCCGCTGGTTTGTGCGCGTCCCTAGAGCCCGCTGATGAGTTTGCGCGTCCGTGCGGAGCCGGAGGCGGTGGGCGGGCCAGCTGGGGCTGCCCGGGCCGCGGGGTCCGACGAAGGGGAGGGCGGGGCCAGCTGCCGGACCGCGACGACAACACTTCGAGCGAGCACCTAGACCTGAGGGGAGCGATGCTGTGGTTCCAGGGCGCCATTCCCGCCGCCATCGCGTCGGCCAAGAGCAGCGGCGCGGTCTTCGTGGTATTCGTGGCAGGTGAAGAGGGCGGGGGCCCGAGACATGGTCGGACACCCTCTCCGGCCTACCTCCAACCCTAGGGCCCCACAGCCTTTGCTACGGGCTGCCCGTCCCTGGCATTTCAGTGGCTCCCGCGTCCGTTAGGGTTACAGAGGGCCTGGCTCCTACCGCCCGAGCGGGAGGCGCTGTCACAGCCTCAGCCCGGGAGCCCTGAGCCCCGCCGGCCCCTCGCTGCCTGAGGCGCGGAGACGCGGCGAGCAGGCCGCCCGGCCCCACCGCCCAGCCTCTCACCCGCCTTCGGGGGAGTCAACGCCACAGACCCCCTTGCCCCTCCCGGGCGCCCCCTTAGAGCTCTCTGCGCCCGAGGACCCACTTCGGATGCCTTAACGCCCGAGTGTAGTTCCTGGCGTGTAGGTGGGGGTAGGCCAGGCCATTAAGCAGGCAGTCGGGTTGGTAATTAGTTGTGGGCTGTCAGGAAGAAAGCTGTGTCATCGGTAAGCAACAAAGAGACACCTCCTGATGTTCGCGGCTGCCGGCGTTCATCTGTTCCTGCAGCGCAAACTGTTGAGCTTTATATAGGTTGGATTTTTAAAATGATAGTGGGGAGGTTCTAATGTGAAATAATTGCTTTGTTGCAAGTTGATTTAAATTTTTGTTTTTCCATTTGTTTGTTCAGTCCTTGGTTGTTCTTATCGTCTTCCTGCTCTAATATCTACAATTTCTAGAGCGTGTATTAGCTCATTTACCCCGGGTTGCTCTGGGTTAATGTGCTCCATGTTTTATTACTCCCCTATTTTATTACTGAAATCTTCTAGCCTTACAGTAAACCTATGCCTCTATGGAATTGCGCATTCTTGTTACATGAACCAAATCAGTGTTCGTGAGTAGTGTTAATTTGAGGTGTATTATTTCAACTATTTGTGTTTAATAACGGTTTACTCATTACTAACTCATGACTCTTGGGAGGCTGCATAATAGCTCTATCATTTTATGCACTGCAGTGAGAACAGGTTGCTGAAATAGGAGTTTTGGTTAACATTAAATTTGAAACTTATGATAGTTTTGTTGTGTTAAATTTATAGGTAAATTTCTAATGCTGTTAATTTAGAAGAGTTTAAGTAGTTCATATTCTCTTATGCTGTTTTACAGTTTATATTTCACATAAAATTGCTGTAATCCCGTAAGAGAAAAAAGTAGATTTAAAAGGAAAAATGAAATAATAGCTACTATGCTTATTAAGAGCACTATAATAGTTTTATGGCATTTTAAGTTGTGTTCTTCACATAAAATCTCTTGATTCTTGTGGTAGGTAGAACAGGTTTTATCATCTCCATTTTATAGATGAGGAAACTTATGTCCTCGGTGGCTAAGTGACATGCACCAGGGTCACAAAAAGGATTTACATATTGTCTTGACAATTTTTTTTAGCAGCTTTAAAAGAAGTGGGATTTTTTTTGTTTGTTTGGTTGTTTCTTAAGAAAAAACAATTGTAAACTTTATGTGATTATTGAAATTGGTATACAAATCAGAAAATCTGGGATTATGGTAGTCATGTTTTTTAAACAAAAAAACACAATTGATGGTGTCCAAATCTTCCTAGAAGGCACTTTTGGGTTAATCAGTTAATTTGAAAGACGAAATGCCCAAATTTAATTAACAAACATTTGGAAATTTATTTGGAAACAGTAGTGTTAATGATTACAGTAGTAACATAAAGTTGTAGGTCTTTAGGGCTTTGTGTGTATATATATACCTTCTTCAATTTTTACTGATGAGCATGTGTTGTTTTTAGAATATCAATGACTGTTGAATGTTTGCAGGAAGACCATTAGCAATGTCAGAGTCTGACCCTTGACCCTTTCAGAATACTGTTGGCTTTTCTAGCGTTTTGGGAAGTGAATATCCAAGACTAGCTAAGATTAGTGTCACTCTAGGAATTTATAGACAGTAGCATCATGAAACTGCAACACTTGTAGGTTGCCTACCTTTGTGCATAACTGAAGCATACAGCCAGAACTCATGAGTGTCTTAGTTCTGAGACCTCAACAATAATATGCTAACTCAGTAGGAAATTAAAAAGGTACCCTTATAGCTGGAAGAAGTGGTCTTAAGGGTAACTTTGATTCATATAACTACTCAAGTAGGGAACATTTTTAGGCAAGTTGTTTATATTTAGTGAACTTTTCATGGATGAATTAAAGATTATAGGATTGATGTTAGGAGACTGTAGAGATTACTAGTTCAGCCAACAAATTAACAAGGATTTTCAAAGTATGATAGCTGTGTAAGTTGAAAGAAAGAAAATGGCCCTGGCTGGGTAGCTCAGTTGGTTAGAGTCTCATTGTAATATGCCAAGGTTTCGGTTCAATCTCCTGTCAGGGCACATACAAGAATCAACCAGTGAATGCATAAATAAGTGGAACAACAAATCGATGTCTCTCTCCCCATCCTGCC